TGATTATTAATAAGAAAACCATACACTGCATCACAGTAGTTAAAGTGTGAGGGAACAAGTGACTCATATAATTGTTTCCTTAGTCTAAAATTTAAAATATGCCTGTTACTATATAAGATTTTTAGTGAAAAATATGTCTTTTGAAAGATATTCTTTTTATATTCACGAAATCTTCGATCACAATCTATGGTCACCCCCAATTGTTTTGCTGAATTATCAACCGAAAGTTAAATATTATCTAACATAATATTAATATTTTGTTTAAGTAGCTTAACTTTATTTTTATTTCCAAATATCATTAAATGCGATTTTGATCAATGATTGACTAAATTTGTCAAAAATCATGCCATATCATCAATATCACTGTTCCAAATTAATTGTAATCAAAATTTGAGTAATCACGATAAATTCAGAATTTTGTAAGAGCATTCAACTATGCGATGCAAGATACATGGTCAAGAGAAGAAGTACAAGCATATATAAAATAGATGTTGAATTTTTTTTTAAGAAACTTCCACAGGCTACCGTAATACTTTTTACAAAGCTTCTGGATTCCTCCTGCGTCGGTTTTTGCTGAGTCAAAATTGCTGACGTTTCGCCGATCATCCTGTTGGCTTCTTCAGAACTTAACTGAAACTGATGTTGACTGAACTGATGTTGAAGTAACAGTGACGTCAATTTAAAAACTTTGGAAATATAGAACAGTGTCATCTCTCTCAGATGTTAATAGAAGTTAATTAAAATTATTCCAAGTTGGCACAAAGCTGGTATCAAATCTCCATTAGAGATCGTCGATACCTTTGTAATGGCGTTAAAAAAAGCGGACATGAAATATGTATCGAAAGTTATCGTTAAACCGTGAAGAGATTTGAATGCAAATAAGATAAACTTTTAAAGAGTTTTCTGGTGGCAATATTTTGTTCTTCATTTCTCATGCGTACATCATTTCGAATTTATTGTAAGTGCGCTTTTTGGTGTTGCCAGCGTACGGATTTTCCACACGACTGGGTTTTTTAACTTAAACTTTTTAAATTATGATTTAACTCGCAGATTTGCGATATCGTGCCCGTGCCTTCAGAAACTTCGACGTTAAAATTATTTATACTAAAGTCCAGGTATTTTGAATATTTTAGAATAAAATTGAAGCGGTTATACGAGTAATATGATATTATTCTCCTAGCAGGTAAATGCATATGACGCTTGATGGAAATTGCTATTATATTTAAATTTAAATTAAAAAAGAAATTTTTCTGGATTTATTCAGTTCTAAGTGACATCGTAAATATAACGACGTTTTAATCATCATATAAGAGGCATACGTTTTTATCGTACTTAACTACATTCTCAAAATAAACCTCAAAATTTTGTATTATTATGAAATCGTTTTCTTTCCTAGTTTAAAATGGATTTCTTTGAAGAGTGAATTAAAAACTATTTAACCAAGTTGTAGATTCAAGAACAACAATTTGCAGATTCTCGACATCTGGCCCGTGCTTAAATATTAGGTATTTTGAATATTTCGCTACGGAACACATGTTATTAAAGCGGTTAAGAAAAACAAATACTGCTAACGTGCTACAAAAGGCAAGTTGAAATTACAAATTCCATTATACTCGTCGCTTTAAAAACAACAGATGTCGCATGGGATTGGCTTAAATTTTGTTGATTTTGACAGCGTAGGTTCATGTTAAGCAAACAATTTTTAATATGAGTGTTTTTAATGAATGTGAGCGAAGCAGTTCTTCTCATCTTTAACCTTCATTAAATATAAAATATTAAAAAGATACTTTCATCGTCGTTTTACATTTTTACTTCGTTTAAGCGTTTTTCTTTTGAGTCGCCCGTTGTAAAATTTCACTTTAGTATAAACAAGGTATTTTTTAGAGCCACCTTACGTTATGCAAAATTTATGACTTTGCGGCTAATGCTAATAAAAGTAATTTTGATATTTTAATTTACATTAAATTTACTTTACGTAACAAATAAATAAACTTAAAATGAATTGCATTCTTAATATTAAGCTCGGACTATGTTACTACCTATCATTTATTTATTGGCGTTACAATTTTTGTTAACTAATAAATCCCAAAACAATCTTCATCAACTAACCAAAACTGGAAAAAAACGATAGTTTCAAAAAGTTTTACATAGAATTTTAAGCAATCCTAAATATATTAAAATTAGATTCAAGGTGTGAAATATACAGGTTCAATAGAAATATTCCTTTGTCGAATCCCAGGTGCTACCTAATTTTATAATTATAAACAATTTATTATAACACATTTTAGAAGACAGATGGAAGTAACTTTATAAGCATAAGCCATAATATTCTTCAGTTATGTTTATGGCCAGTACCTTAAACCTAGCGAATTCACCATAATATATTGATTACCAAACGATGTTAACCCATATTATCCCAAGCATAAAAAAAATAAAAAATACTTTTTTGCTCTGAAATTATTTATTTTGTTGCACTTAAGAGTACATTACATGTGTCAAAAAAAGATAAAAACTCGAAACATACGAAAAAATACTGGTGCGTAAACGAACTACTGGGAAAAAGCATTAAATAATGTTTTGGGGCACATAAGATGTAACATATAATTTATACATAAATATATAAAAGAAAGTTCAAATTCGAAAACAACCAAAAATAGAATGTATTCCAAATAGAACCTGATTCGATACAAAAATGCGTATAATATTTTATGGTGCGTGAGAGCGCAACTGGTAACACCCGGTTTCATTTTTGGTTATATTTTACAAATCATGAAGTAAAAACGTAAATTGTGTGGCTGTGGCAGATTCTACATCTCCTTCGAACAATCATGAGGTGACCTTAATGACCCTAACGCACTTCATCTATGGCAGGTGCAATATTTGTTTGAGTAAAGTTTTATCAGTTTTTAAAAGTCGCAAAGCAATGTAAGATTTAAATTCAAATCAATCACTTCTTCATCAAAAAACATAAAAAATACTTCAAGCGGAGTTTTTACAGAAAGCCTATTTTTTAGTTCTTCACATGAACTAAATTCATCGGACATAGGTGTGTGTGTGTACTCAATCTGACCTTTCTTCCATTTGACAGTAGAAACAAGCCTGTCGTTTGCAGAAATCATACGTGTTCTTTTGAATTCCGGAGTTTCATCATCTTATGAGTCGCATTCAGGTTTAGTATTTGATGAATTACAGGACCGTTGAAGGACAGCTGTATCATTCGGTGTATGTAACTCGAAAGTTCCAACTATATAAGTTGGTTCCCCAAGCTCTTGTAGATTTATGTTATCTCTTCGTCAGTCAAGGTATCCACGTCGGATGGAATATAGACAGCGTCAATATGTTCTGTAAATATTTTTTCAAGTTATTTTTAGCATAAATTTACAAGGTATGAAATGCTACAATACATAAGAATACGTAAATCTAAATAATACTTACGACTTTCATTGTTATTGTCCTCATCCATCACGATCTCCTCTATAGCCGCCTCTAATACCTTTTGAGTCAAGCACCTCGGAAATGTCATATTTTACGAACTGTAAGGTTCACTGCACAAGGCACAAACTAATACTAAAGATCACGCTAATTGTTGAATGTTTATTCTACATGCGCTGACTTGTCTTGACTTGCAATAACAAAGTTTTGTTTCACAGATAAAACCAGTGGTGTATTCACGCACCAGTAAATATTTTAAAAAAATAAAGCATAATCAATTTACTATACCAATGTATGTTTTCTGCGCACCACTGGGACCAAATGGATTAATAGACCAGTTAAAAAAAGAAGTGCAAAGCCCATCTGAGTAGAGATTATTGTCAATGTAACGAAAAGGTATTGCATATTTTAATTTAGAAATTTAATTTGTTTATATTCGGTGTGTACAAGAAGCTTGTTTGCAACATTCGGTTTTGCAGTTTTTTTCACTTAATTCGACACCACTTTATCGGTAAATCATACTATAAGAAGAATGTTTTAGCCTTTAGCTCTCTAAATTTTTATAGTTATATATTGTTGTTTAAGTATTTTAGTAAACTGGATTTATAACGGGCAGATGCCTTAAATTTAGCAGATGTTGACATTTTTGTTGTAATGGACTATTTTAATGAAGATAAAGACTTCATAAGTGCCGAAATGCGGGGAATAAAATTGTAAATTGTTAATAGCAGATTATATTAGGCGTATAAGGCGCTAACAGAAGCTAATAAATGAAGGTAATATTAAACAAACTGAAGTGGGTACCTACAGGTATATAGCTTCACGTGGTAATTAATAAGATTAATTTAATAATAAATCAAAGTAGAGAAAACGCAACTGTTATGGAAAGGCCTTTGTGTAGCAAACTCCGAGTAGTTTAAGGATATCAAAAAATCGAGGCTTTAATTTCACGGAGTTGTCCGTTGTTACTGAAGGTAGAGCCTTGCGTGTTCGCCAACCTTGGGTACTTTTTTATGAAACGAAAGATGACAACAAAATTGCTTAGTTTTTAAAATACAGGATGATTTTGGAAACTTGAAGTTTTGGTTAGTTATGCTATAAAATGTCGAAAAGATTAAAAGCGCATCCGATATAGTTTTTTTAGGTAAAATTTAGTGGGGATTCAGTTTTTTTGTAAATGGTTTCATCTTTTCGAAAAAAAAAATTAAGTTGTTTTTTTTTTAATGACACACTCTATATTTATCTCTTTATTATTACACACCCTCAAACTTTGCAAACTTTGTTTAAACATTTTAAAATTAGTAACAAATGTAATGCCGCATGTTTAAAACTGGATAATTTTAAATTATTCTTCAGTAATTGTTTTTGGAGACACAGTACGTAGATATATTATTGTTGTATGTTAAAAAAAAGTGTTAACGTTGCATAATAAAATTATTTTTAAACTGACTCTATTCCACAAATTTACCCTGCTTCCAACGATCCGCCCCGTATAAATAAGCAAACTCGCAAAGAACTAAACGAAACATCGAATCGGCTGACATTACAACGTCTAATGTATTTTTCAGATTCCTTTGTCTTGGCTGGCATGTCAAGTTCAGCGAATGGATTCAATTCAATACCAGAAACGGAAACACTGCCGCCATTTTTGAATCCGACAATACCGCAGAACCGTTTCGAGCCATATTTTGACGCAATGACACCTAGGAACGTTACGGCACTAGTTGGAAAATCAGCTTATCTCAGCTGCAGAGTGCGAAATCTCGGGAACAAAACAGTGAGTGAAATAAAAATTATTTTATTGAGTGTGTGATTATGATTTGTGGCAGTGCTCTATCAGAGGTTATCAGCCGCTGCGTATTTTATCCTATATCTGAGTCAGATCTTTACACTATTTAGCTGGGTTACGCTGTAGTGAATAAGGTAGTTTTTGAAATCAAAATTTCAGCAATTCAAATCCACGAGACCGATATCGAAATCAATTCGTTGGCTTAAATTGGATAATCTCAATACCGCTGCACTATTCCATAGCGATGAGGTTGATGATATTAAAACAAAAATGCAAATGCATACCAAATTGGCTAATTGGCCGAAATAAATACTTAGTTCGCGGTATGATCAAAGGCAATTGAGCATGAACCGAAGTAAATAATTTGTGGTTGCCGAGGAGAGTTGTCGTTTTTCATCATACTATGCGAAAAGACGCAAAATTCCCATATATGAAAACAGATTGCAGAATTTCTTTTTATATTTTTATCTCCCTTATTGTATTTAATAATAATAATAATAATTTTATTTCCCAGTTAAATAAATGACGAATGATTTAACAGTTTTGCTAACGTTTCGCCAATCATCCTGTTGACTTCTTCAGGGTTTAACTGAAACTGGCTCGCATTTTACTCTGTACCTGCTTATATATTATTTGAGTAGGCTGGAGCTAAATGAGGGATGACTGATTCCCATATTGGTGACAGGTAAAGACCTGAGTCGTGGTTAAGGTTGTTAGGTTGCTTATAGATTTCTCTAGACTCTCGGATTTTTTGTTGGTAGAAGAATTAATTAAAATAATTTTAGTTTTATTGAATAAAAGTTTATATCCGGTTTAGTGATTGTGTTCGGCAACTGCTGATGAGTTTATTTATCTTAGCCTTGAGGCTCTTTCATGTTTTTTGAGCCTAGTTGATATTTCTCGTCCTGTCTCTCCAATATACTCTTTGCCGCATATGCATGAAACTCCTCGCACCTCAAATGGAATTTTGTCTTGTAGAAGATTTTTGGAGAAGTGGTAAATCTGGTTTTGATGTTATATTTCCTTAGAACTTTTGATAAGTGATCAGTGATGTTTTGAATGTAAGGAAAGGCAACAATGGCAAATGTGGGATTGCTTTCGGCTTCATTGCTATTGAACGGTTATGGTGAAATTTTTATGATTGAACGCTTAATATCTTTAATGTGGAAGTTATCAGAGAGAAGAGCAGAGGTAAGCTGTTTTACTTCTGGGTTCAGTGACTCGGGCGGATAAAGTTTTAAGGCTCTGTAAACAAGAGAGTTGATAACCGATGATTTTAAGGCCGGATGGTGATGTGACAATTCATTAAGGTATCGTTCTGTATGCGTAGGTTTTCTGTAAACACAATGACACAATGTTAGGTCTGATTTTCTTTTGATAAGAATATATAAGAATGGGAGGTTGTTGTTAGTTTCCAACTCAATGGTAAAACGCATGTTAGGGTGTATAGAGTTTAAATGTCTAAGAAAATCTACTAAGGATTCTTGACTATGAACCCAAATAACAAAAGTATCATCAACGTAGCCTTTCCATAATTTTGGTTTTAGATGGAAGGTGTCGAGAGCTTTCTTCTCAAAGGTTTCCATAAATATATTCGCGATGACTGGTGATAGCTGTTCCCGACGTTCAAAAATTTGACCGTTTTCAGAAAAATATATTCCAGACAAGCATTTTTCGATTAAGCTGAGAAGATTTGGTTCCAGATTATCGGATTGTAATATATCTGAAATGACGTTGAGAGTTTCAGGAAAAGGAACTTTAGTAAAGGTTGATTCTACGTCGAAACTAACCAGAATATCTTGCGTATCAAATGTAATGCTTTTTAATTGTTCAATGAAGTGAAAAGAATTAAGTACTAAGTATTCCCTGCAATGGGTTTTAAAAAGGAAGCTTGAAATTTTGCTAGAGAATATGTTGGAGAACCAATGGTGCGGACAATTGATAGAAGAGGAAATCTTGGTTTGTGAATCTTCCGGACGCTATAGAGACGAGGAATTTTAGAGTCTTGAGGGGTGACAGATTTTGCACTGAGTCTGATTAAGTTGACGATATGATCCGTCTGCAACAATATGTTGAATCTTTTCCTGATATTCATTTGTGTTTCTGGCTACCGTAGCATTTCCTTTATCTACTTTTAGGATTACGATATTGGAATTAGATTTTAGAGATTTTAGGGCAATGCATTCAGGCTTTGTAATATTAGATTTAGGAGGTTTTGATTTTTTAAGGTTTCAAATCGAATTTCATTAGCTGTTTGAGATGGCGGTTTGTTTAGGATAGGCTCGACATTTGAAATAATTTAATCTTTTGGGATAATATGTGGGGCAAAGAGGAAGTTGGAACTTTTTGAAAGAACTGATTTTTTCGTTTCCGAAAGTTGGTCCGATGATACATTTATTACAGTGTTTGGTAGTTGAGAAGAGTTTGATGGTTCTCCTTAGTGTTGACGTTAATTTTTTCAAATTTCTGAATGTGATTCTGGGTAGAAGATATACGAAGATTTAAAGCTTTGTCATGAATCATGTATGAACGGGTAAGGAACTATATTCGTTAAAACTAAAATTCTTGCATGTAATCAGTTCTTCTAACAACGAAAAATCCGAGAGTCTATCGAAATCTATAAGCAACCTAACAATCTTAACCGCGACTCAGGTCTTAACCTGTCACCAATATGGGAGACGGTGTTTATGCACCTCATTTAGCTCCGCCCCGTGAAACAATATATAAGCAGATACAGATTGAAATGCGAGCCAGTTTCAGTCAAGCTCCGAAGAAGCCAACAAGATGATTGGCGAAACGTTAGCTAGTTCGACACAACAAAAACCGACTCAGGAGAAATCCAGAAGTTTTATAAAAAGTATTACAGTGGCCTGTGGAGGTTTCTTTGAAAAGTTAAAAATACTTTTGAAAGTGAAAATGCGATTAAATTTTGAACAGAAAGAAAAAAAAATATTCTTCACAGTTAATATTTTTTTGTGGTTTGTTCTCAAATATTTTCTTGTTTTTTTTATTCAAAAATTGGCATTCGAAAATCTGTACACATTTGATGAATTAAAAAAACTCTTGGGGTTATTCAGAGAGAGTGCTTATTTTTAATACATGTTTATTTTTCTTTTATTACAATTCGGAGCAAATTATGTTAAAAATCATATTTTACAGATATGAAATTTTTTCAATAAAATGGCTTCTTTCAGATTTTACTGTCGTTGTAATAATAATACCAAAAAGGCTGAACTTGCCAGATATTAAGTGACCTCTCTAGGGAAAGGCTTCCCTAGGAAGAAGGACACAAAAAAAATGCAAATTTCAATTAAAAGAATAATGGAAAAAAACAAAAGTTTAAAAGTTAAGAACAGACTATAAATTGATGAGTAGACTGACAGCTCTGGCAAAATGCCACCACGATGCTTGGACCAGGGGGTCATTTTATAGATAAAATATTTTTGATTTTTTGTTGATTTTTTGTTTTTAAAGGAACTGCCACAGACTACTCTAATACTATTTACAAATATTTTGGGTTCCTCCTGCGTCGATTTTTGTTCAATCGAACTTGCTAATATTTCGTCAATCATGCTATAGAGTACTTCAGAGCTTAACTGAAATTGGCACACATTTTACTCTGTATTTGCTTATATATGGTTGGAAGAAAGTTGACCTAGAGGAGTGGCATGAACATTGTCTCGGGTGACTGATTCCCTCAATGGTGAAAGACCTGAGTCGCGGTTAAGATGGTTAGTTTCGACGTAGAATCCTTCTTTACTAAAGTTTCTATTGCTGAAACTGTCACCATCATTTCAGAATATATTTCGAATATATTTATGAAAGCCTTTCAGAAGAAAGCTCTCGACACCTTTCATCAAAAACCAAAATTATTGAAACGTCGATGATACATTTGTTATTTGGCCTCATGGTCAAGAAACGCTAGTCGATTTTCTTAGACATTTAAACTCTATACACTCTAAAATACGTTTTACCATTGAGTTGGAAACTAATAAAAACCTTCCATTCTTAGATATTCTTATCAATATAAAATCAGACCTAACATTGGGTCATCGGTTATCGACTCTCTTGTTTACGGAGCAGTAAAACTATCTCAGTCCGAGTCACTAAACCCAGAATTAAAACACCTTCCCTCTGCGCTCCTCACTAATAATTGTCACATTAAAGATATTAAGCGTACCATCACAAAATGCACTTCACCACAGCCTTCCAATAGCAATGACGCCAAAGGCAATCCCACAGTTGCCACTATTGTCCTTCTTTATAATCAAAACATCACTGACTACATATCAAAAGTTTTAAAGATATATAAAGTCAAAACCAGATGTACCGCTTGTCCAAAAATCTCTCAACATCTTCGATTCGTCAAAGACAAAATTCCATTTGAGATGCCAAGAGTTTACAGCATTCCATGCATATGTGGCAAAGAATACATTGGAGAGATAGGACGAAAAATATCAACTAGGCTCAAAGAACATGAAAGAGCCTTACAACTAAGACAAATAAACTCATCAGCAGTTGCCGAACACAATCACCAAACCGGACATAAAATCTTATTCGATAAAACAAAAATACTTGCATGTTATTAATTTGCCAAAAAAAAATCAGAGAAACTACAGTGTTTTTTTTATAATTCGCGCGTAATTACCCCCATGGGTTTTAATTTTATGCCATTAAAAAAAAACACTGAAAAATTATTTAGTATATTCAATTACATACAAGTACATTTATGTTTTAACAAACGATTAAAATAAGTAATCCGCGGTGCTTTCACTAATGCAAGGAAGGTTTCACAATGGAATTCTAATTTATGCTAGGCTCATCATTTCAACACAATAATATGATACAATGATGACAGATACTGATTTTTATGAATTTTTTTTGTCACCTCATATACTTTATATAAACAAATAAATCAAATTCCCATTGTCAAAAAAAAATGCGTACCGCGCAACCAATTTCAAAATCGATTGCGCAACTTCGCTTGT